GTCCTGCAGAGCAGCTTGTGAGGACCCTTATGCCTGATCATGCCCACAGCACAGGGATTCTGGACCAGTCCTTCAGCACTGCACTTCTCCATACAGTTTTTCATTAAAGTCACAAAAATATACACTGCAATATATTTCAGCAAAGTTGCACAATTTTCTTTGAATGCTTTGGTGGATGTCTCAAAAATGCAGACACTGATGTGGAAAATACGCTACAATTTATTACCAGAACAAAACACACCCTCAAGCTTCAGCTAAGTATCAGTAACGATAGCTGTATCACACTCTGAACTCTCCCCAGAGCACTCAATAATTACTTACTACCTAGGCAAGTCACTTTTATGAGCTTGTAGCAGGCTACTTGCCACTCCTCTATTTTCCCTCTTGGACAGCTAAGAAACCAAGCTATGCAAACAAAACAGAAAAATAAGTGAAACTGTTGCACAGGCCAAATCTTCAAGCAAAAAAAGTTTTGATTAGAGAACAAGACTAGAAGAATGGAATTACAGAAAGAAAAAGGAATACATTTCCTTAACTCCATCCTACAATGTTATGAAGTGTTGCGGACTGAAGTCGTACCAAATTCTATAAAATCCCTTGCTTTTTACTACTGCTGTATCAGTGTTGCCACTAACTACCAATGTTTTTACTTGTTTGAAAAAAATAGTCATGCTGCTTTTCTGAAAGCCACACCTTTCTCAGGGCAGGCTGCTCCACGAGAATATAGGCTTTTGTTCCAACAGTAAAGACATCTATCTATTCCTCCATGAACCAAAGGGAAAATTAAAAACAAGTTATACAGGTTCAAAGTTGATGCCAATATAAATTCCAAAATTTATTTTTGTTATTGGTTTTCTTTTTAGAAATAAAGGCCTCTTCATTTTATAACTTGACTCATATTATTTCCATGTCTGGAACTCCCTTTCCTAACCTCCACTGCATAAAAATACAAGTTAGATAGTAGGCTATTTAGTTAGCCATAGTCATTCTTTTGAATTTTAGTAAACTACTATATCAAAATCATTATATTTTAGGAATCTGATATTTAATGCAGCTACATGCAGTTTTTGAGGATTGCTACAGCGATTAATTAACAGCTTGTGCTGATATTTATTTTCAGAGTAACTCCTTAAAAAGCCAGCCAATTAAAGGAGCATAACCAACATTCAGCTGCTCAGGTTTGACTGTTTTTAACAGCAAAAGCAATTTCATTCAGCTGTTACAGACAAGATATTAGGAATCCCATACTCAAATTGTATTTGCAGGGGAGTACGAGTCAGCTTTAATGTAATTAAATGCGTTGGAATTTGGCCAGAAACAAATCCAAAAGCCAGTCTACCCAACAGTACAATGCGTACTTGTTTATACACTTTTCTTCTGCACCATTTGATGACAAAAACAAGAAAATGCACTCAGGCTTCTGCTTAACTTTAAACAGGAAGAGTTTCATTTAACTCATTTTAAATAAGTCACATCTAAGCTTCACCACACCCTTGTACAGACAAAAAGATTTAGCCAGAACTGTAGCTGTATGGAGCCGTGAATTTTATTATGGAATAATTCAAAATAGCATCTCAGAATGATATAGAGATAGAACTTTTAATTCCATGGCCTGAGTCCTACTCTTCCAATCACTTTCTATACTACCAAAGGCAACTTACTGCAAGTGTCCCAAAAGCTGATTTCACAGATGAGGGAAATGAGAAATGATGCAAACGTGGGACAAACATAAGCCTGCTGAGAAAAACAAACCCCCTCAGCATCAGCTGAAGTGTACTTCAGAGTTTCACAAGGGAAGAATTAGCCACACAGCAAAAAAGTTACTGCGTGCAAGTTGTTTTCTATAGTTGCTCACACAAGCACCCACAGCAAAGGCCAGAGGTGTTACATTCTGAGCATTTTGAGAACAGCAATTTCTTACTGCCTTGCATTTACTGTGTAATGTCTCAGAGAATAACATGCAGTCACTTCCTCGTGAGTCAAAGGCCTTGGATGAATAACAACTAACCAGTAAGATGCCAAGTATTAAGCAGAAGTTTAGCAAGCATAGAAACGTAACTATGTCAAATACCGAGCAGTCTTAGCAACGTATCTTAGGGCACTTCTATTATTTTTCTTCATTAAAGAGTTTCAGTGAGCTGATATTTACTCTATCACTTGAATGTCTTCTACCAGGTTTAGCCTCTTCAGGGGCCTCACCAGACCATACCACCAGCAATTAGTACAGCTTCATGAACAACAGATCAAAACAAAGCAGTAAGGGAAATAATTTTCAAGAGCAACTTTTTTATTCTATTGACTATCTTGAAAGTTACCACCTTTATCAGCTTAGACAACTTGATGGCAATAGCTTCTCCATCAGTGTGTGTGTAAATTCACATTTGGTAACATATACTCTAAACACTAAGGAAAAAAACCTAACACTTCATGCAGTCCTGTTTTGAACTTAAACATTACACTTAAAAACAACAAGATTTTGAGTTGGCCAAGTGTATTGCTGTGATTAAAGTAATCATGAGAACAGGTAACTGTTCTTTTTGGTATCTGGAAAAGGCTTTAGGAAATCCTCATCGATCAGAACGTCATTTACCAAACATTATTTCTCATTTAAAATGTGGAAGAGCAAACCCCTTAGATTTTTGCAACTACGAACAGTACTAAAACATTGCTTTTGTGATTCACATATTAATTCACCAAATCCAAAATCATGTAACAGTTGGGTATTAAGAGTAAGTGAATAAAGATAACATCAGAAGTCTTCTACAAGTCAATCATGCCTACTCAGAGAAAGTTCTCAATATACTTTCCTTTAAAACAAAGGAAGACCACAAAACATGCTTTAGCAGTGGGTTCAGCATGCCTGTGGAAGTCTGACTACCTAAAAAAAACCTAATTACTGGAAGACTCTTCTGGAAAGAGTCACAAAAGTTACAAAATTTGCAACAGTTCCATATGTTATACTTGCAGTAAAACAAAGACATTATTCTACACCCAAGCAAAATTCCATGTGTTTGTTAAATGTTTCAGCTTTAGGTAAACAGGTTAGACAGCTCCCTACAGACTACAATGACAGCAGATGTCCCTACTAAGAAGTTTTATTCCCTTGAGGTGCATGCTACAATTAAAATAGGGAAAACAATCTACACATTACCAATCCTATTAAAAGAAACAGAAGTCATCAATATATCTCTGCTGAGATATCTGTCAAATTCCTGGTTTATGCCTACCTGGCAAAAGTACTGGTTCCAGTTTTTTAATCCTGGGTTCTGAAGTTACATGGTCTTCAGTCTGGGGGAAGGAAAGAGAAAAGGGAATTTACTTTAATATAAAAATCACAATTTTGAAACAAGATACAAGTTTATCTGGGCAAAGGAGAAAGTTGTTCTTTTAAGTAAGAGCTTATTTTTAAAAGAGAGGCTCTAAGCATAATAACAGCTTTCCGTAATGCTATCAACAGGCTGCAGACATTCAGCTCCATACTAAAAGGATGTTATAATACTTTAAGTGCTAACTTTCTACTAATCACATAACTCAGGACACAGTAAGCCAGAAGATAAATAATAACTACAAAAGCTTGAGTCCTACAACAAGCTCCATACAAACACAGGCATTAAGGTTTGCACAAAACTCTCTGCTGGCTTTTGATGTGCATGACTCTCCCAGCTTAGGAGACCAAGCCTAGAACATATCTACCTGCATTTTAATTCCAAACTTCAACAATAAAAACCCTTCTGTAAGAAGATGGGAACCCTCAGCACAGTAACCTCAGTGCTCACTCACCTTTCTTATACTGAAAGCATTACCAGCACCTTCCAGGACCAACAGTCCCAGAACTACACAACCCTGGTACTTCACTTTTACCAAGTTTCTCTGAAAAAGCAAAACCAAATCCACCTGCCCATCGTGCTGCTATAGCCGGGCTGCCCGGCGCTCTGCAGGTACAGATAAATAAATGACTGTCAAGTGCCAAAGCGCTCTCTCAGCGCACACAAGAAATCCCGGCAGCTTTATTGTGACTTTCTTATTCGTGCCACCAGCCAAATGTTACAAGTGAAACGACGGCCACAGCGAAGGGAACCGCTCTAAGGTTTCCGCAGGTGAGGCCGCTGCCGCCCAGCACAAAGGAGGCCGGAGTCCCAGGAGCCTGGAGCGCTGCTCTAAGCCGAGAGCCTCGCACAGTGGGTTTAACGGACACGAGGCCGCGCTCGGGGCCAAACTGGGACTCATCTCCACGCACCGCCGTGCGCTTCCGTTCCTCCACGCACCGGGACCCCGGGGCCGCTCGGGGCCCGCAGGTGCCGCTCCCCAGGGCCAGGCTGGGGGCGGGCAGCTCGGGGCAGCGCCCCAGGGCCGGGACGGAGGGCAGAGCCGGCGGCGGCCCCGGGCCAGAGCAGGGCGGAGCGGGACGGGGATGAGAGGCTGTTACCTGAGGCAGCGGCAGAAGGTACGACTTGAAGGTGGGTTTGGGAGGCTTGAGAGAAAACATCGTCGCTGCCGCCGGGGATCCCGGAGGGCTGGCGGGCGGGGAGGGGCCGGCGGGTAGGGCCGCGCCGCGCCGTGCTGAGCCGCGCCGAGCCGAGGAGGCCCCGTCCCGCGGGGGCTGGGTGCCGACAGCCGCCGGCGGAGGCCCGGCGCCCCGCAGCCACCCGGGGCGGCGCGTTCCGTCACGCGGCGGCGGCCTCGGAGGGCGGCGGCGTAGGCGGCCCCCGCGCGCCCCCCTTCCCCAAGGGAGGAGTCAGCGGCCTGGGCAGGCCCGGCCTGGGGCTGCCCCCGGCCCTCATGGAGCCCCGCGCGGCTCCTCCGCCTCCCCGCGGCGCCGCCTCCCCGCGCAGGGCCCGGCGGCTCCCTACGGCCGGCGGCGGGCGGGAGGCGCCGGCGGCGGCGGCCCCGGCGGGCGGCGAGCAGAGGCGGGCTGTGCCGGGGCGGCCATCTTGGGCGGAGGGGGCGGGGAGCGGCTTTCCTACGGCGGCGCGCAGGGGCCAGGCGGCCGAGGGCGGGAGGGGCCGCTACCCCGCGGCGGGGCTGCCGGGCTCGGGCTCGGAGCGGGGCGGCGCGCGGCCCGAACCGAACCGTCGGGCTCGGCTCGCTGTCCGCTGACCGGGGCGGTCCCCGAGGGCCCCGCTGGTGGGAGCTGACGGCGGTTCTTAGAAAACTACCTTTTTAATCGTCGTAGAATGGCGTGGTTTGGAAAGAGACATTAACGATCGCCGAGTTACAGGTTACAGCCAAGTACGTCAGCTCGTTTTCTTTGCGGAATCGCAGCCGTCACAAAATAATTGGCATCTTCGAAGCAGTAGAGCGTGCCAGCAGCACTCATTTGGTGTTCTCACAGGCTGCACAGCCCCGCGCTCATTAAACCGTTAACATCCACGAACGTCCCGCCTGCTCCCGCTGGAGGACCGCTCCCTCGACCCCTCAGCGCACCGCTGTCACCCCGCCACGGGGAGCTCCCGCGGCACAGCCCGGCGCCTGCCGTTAGTTGGTTCCGTCCCCGACTGGTAAAAAAATAGGAGGTGGGTGGGGGTGCTCACCTGTGTGTGTGCCAGCTCTTGTAACAGGTGAAGCGGCCGAAATAATTCCTGAATTGTTTCTCAGTGAGTAAATCGGGAATTTGGAAATGAACAGGTTCTGTGCTCTCTCACAGCTCTCGTGTTCTGTAGCAGAAAGCTGTGCACATAGCAGATGTCGGGAGCTGGTTGCCATGGGTTAGAGAAGGGCCAACTTTTGCGTTCAAGGTGACGGCCCTGTACACTGCAACACAACAGATACGGGGCAGAAATAGCAGTGATACTGTTACCCACTTCCTGCAGTAGAATGCTGTTATTTCTGACCAGACAAAAAGTAGCTGTAGGTTACAAAATCTTCCCCGTTTCCTCCCTCACCCACCAGCGTGTGCTTCCAGATGAGTGAAGGGGAATTTGCTTGCAAAGCCTCCCATGGGCACAGCCTGCCCTCTGGGAAGCACTGAGAGCCCGCATCTGCCCCTGCCTGTCATGAGAGGAAACAGACATGAAAGGCAAGGTTTGGGGGCACAGCATTAAAACATAGACTAAAGCAGAGGATTTTGACGCTTGGAGGCTGGGAAACATCTCTGCGTGAGGCCTGCAAATGGAGGTTTTTACTGTAACCCAGGGTTGTCTCAGACAATTAGCTTTAAAATCTAACTTCAGCATGAATAAACTAGTACTACCAAGTTCATCTTACTGCCACCTTCCACACAAAGTACATCACATTGTGGCTATGGAATGTTAAGCACATCTTGCTGCCACAGGCGTCTTTTGCTCATCACATTAAACTTGTGAATAGCTGGAGAAAGCAGGTGCACATCTTCAACCACAGAATGCCCTTTAATTAGGTGCACCTGCTGGCACTGCCCTGCAGCCAGTGCACTGGAATGAAGGAGCTGGGGATCTGTGGGCTGGCTATGAGTTAGACACAGGTCACAGCAAGGCTCATGGGATAGGGCCATGGAGGCCAGGATGTGCCAAAATAATCATCAGTACAGTATGTGGGCACTGTAGCCTTACTTTATTAAAAATGGTGGGGAGTTTTTCATTGGTTTTTTGTTGTTGTTGTTTTTGTTTTTTGCAATTTTTCTCTTAACAGCCCACATTTAAGATATCAGTAAAGGCCTGCTGCAGTATAATAGTATTTTAACATCACCACAACATAAAGACAGTAAAGAATTAGAAGACTCCAAAAGAACAGAGACATTTTTAGGCACAAAATGACACATGCAGCACCCAGCATCCATCACAAGATCAAGGTCTTCCCTTGCTGCAGTTAACAGGAAACACATCACACAGTGTTATGTGTTCAGTGAAAGAACAGACTTTAGGGCATCATTCAGATGCTCTGACTAAAATGCAAGGCCCCACCAATGGGAAGAGGTTTGCTTGAACAGTGAGGTGGGGAATGAACCACCAACACCTGCCTAGGTTGAGGAAGGAAATACGTGCATGCATTTAGAGCTGTGCAGCAGCCCAGGGCAGAACACCAGCAAGGCCCTCCATAACCATTTACTATGCTTGGACTTTCAGGCAGAGAAGATTAACACAAACCTATCCAGTACTTTTTTAGAACAAGTGCAGCTCTTTGCCCAAGCGTCCCATCCGTACAGTGTTAGTGGACAATTCCCTTCATTGTATCCTCTACTTCTACATGTAAGGTTTATATTTTATGTTGAAAAATCGTTGTGTAAATGGCACTGTTTAATCTGTGTGGTACTGGGCTCAGCTCCTTTCTGTTTTCGATGTGCTGTGCTACAGAATCTGCTATTCGTTCAATGATGAATGCCTGACAGTGAGAGCAAGCTATACCTCCCCTCTTGCTGGTGACTGATCCCCTTTCATAAGCTAAATCCCTTGGATATTTGATAAGTGAGCAAGCCTGCAGGGACTTGTCCTCATCTTTATTCTTGCATGTTTTTTGTTATTCAGAACACTGTTGAAAGAAAATTAAAATCAGGAAAAGGGTAGGAGAAAAGCAAGGGGGAGAGGAAGGGAGAAAGTCCAAATCAGCTGGGCTTAAAATTACATATAACAAATTTGCCAGTGTGATTAAATCTGTCAATTATTATTATCAAATTAGAATTACAAGATCATTTCTGCATGCCTTAGATGCCTTCTAAGAAGTGGCTGCGAAGGCAGTTTTACTCGAGGGAATGAGCATTTCAAAGAAGGACTGGACGGACGTTCGAATGGCAGTGCTGTTCTGAAAATGCAAACTCAGTAAAGCTCTCTGTAAACATAAGATCACAAGATTTGTGAGGGTTATTGTTGGAACTGATCACAAGTTGTCACTGGAAAAGTTTTATGCTAGTGGGAGGAGAACACTGATTTTACAGAAGTGAGTATTTTGGAGGAGCAAGTTAATTCTGTCTCAACTTGCAGTAGGATACAAGCAGACAGGGCAGTTAAGAAGAGGTAAGACAGGCAGAGCCAAGCACAGCAGACAGGCAAGGCAGGTAGGGCAGGGCACGTGAGGCAGGCAGGCAGGACAGACAAGGAAGTCCACTGAATCCCCTCCCTGCCACCTTTTGGCAATTCACTCCACTGTCTGCCCACCTCCAACCATTCTGCCTTACCTCACTTGCTCACTGTTTTCAAACAGTTCTGCTAGACCAGTGGTTTCTGAAAATAGTTTCATCTTATCAAAGCAGTCCTGAAAGAAAGGAGGGCAGCTACCTAGGGAACAAAGTCAGTGGATCTGAAAAGGCTGCAACTGTCCATTTTTATTCCAACATTTTTTTTAAAAACAGCATTTTTGACGCAGTGCAGTTATTTTTGTTGCTTAAACATTAAGTTAACTCCCATGTGCTAGATTGACCAGGACACTTACACTTTTCCACTGTCATGGCCACCCCAGACCAGTTTGGCCAGCTTTCCTGGTGGTACCAGATCCCACATGCTGAGTGGCAGTTTTCTGAAGCCTCATATACAGTGCAAATTACTTGTAACAGTGAGATATCTAAGATATTTTTCTGCTTACCTATGGCTGTGGTTATAACGTGGTGTATTAACTGCACATCAGTTTAGGTATCTTCCTGAAAGTTCTAGTAAAACCTCACAAATCAGCTCTGTGGTTAGGGAAGTACTTTGGTTTGTGCAATGCTGGAGGTCTAGGGTTAAATAAGAACAGACTTTCATAACAATCCTTTTTGATCTCAGCAGATTACAGAATGGCTTTCATTAGACATGTTCAAGAACAGGTTAGACCACCATCTGCCACTGATGCTATCGCGGCAGTGCTGAACTCACTATAGTGCTGATGATCTGCCTCTTCCAGGCCTGTATTTCTGTGGTAACTTAAGGGTTTCATAGCATGAAGAATAGTTCAACTATTGATTTGCACTCCAGGACACAGAGATGTACACGTTGTGTGATTTCACAGCTTAGCAATGTGGCCAGAGCTACAGCAAATATGTGGCAAGTCTGCAAAATCAGGGATTCGTTGATGAAAGTTTATTGTATATTTAATTGAAAACATTGCAGTTTATTACTTCACCTGGACATCTCCTTGCTTTTTCACTCAATAGTCTGCACACTCAATTTGCCATAACTTGGAGTCAGAAACGTGGAACTTTTGTCGGAGACTTGTGAGGACAACAGCCTTACAGGTCCATATTAACTGCTGTGGAAAATAACCTGTATGTCTTAATTTAAATTTCTTAAGCAGTCTAAAAAATCTCTTTCTGGGTGTCTTTGATGAAGATTAAACAGAAGAATTTGTTAAATGTTATTTACACGAAGCAGCAACTTTGATACTCTTGGCCAGGATATGCAAAATGTATAAAAACTATGCAAAGGTTTTAGTTTCTTGAAGTATCCCAGAAGGAAAAAAAGAAACACACACACAAAAAAATCCCACCTACTTTTAAAGGCATATCTGTAAAGTGGAGGTAGTATTCTCAAGTGTGGGGGTTTAATGATGTTGAACTTTGCTGTGTTGTATAAAGGTATTTTTCTTGTTAGTCACTATGTATGTATTTCTTGCCTGGAGATATTTGGAGCTATTAATTGGTACAATGTGCCACTTTGGCTTGCACTATTTAACATAGGTAATGTGATAATGACTCTCAGATTAACAGTGTTTCTAAACTACAGTCCAATTTTAATTCCCAGTAATGTTTGAAGTCTGTCAGACTGATGAGGTAATAGCTTGCTAAGCACAGCAATCCAGTTAGTGCAAAAAAAGAGAAATGCTGACGTCTAGAATCAGGGAGGATGAAGTGCTGCAGTTTCACAGAGGTTTTAGTGCTGTAGAGACAAAGGAGGAGCAGGAAGATGGAATTATGGAGTTCCTTTAACACCAAGCTCTTAACTGCTTTGGCTGAACAAATGCAAACACTAATTTATTTAAAGCCTGTTATGAAGGCTTACCTTACGTAAAAATGCAGGACATCAACCATAAAGTACCATTTTACACTATCAAGTTCTGTTTCTGTGGATTAGGCTCAAAGTTGAATGAAGTAAAAGACTGCAGTTTTAAGGGAATTATTCTAAAGTCTGCAGTTTGTCAGCATGGAATCCAAACTACTGGTGCCTATTGATTTTTGATTGCCCAACCTCTCTGGGTCTGACACTGCAAGAAATGAGCATTCAGTAGCCCAGTCAGGCTGAGCCTTACATTTGTTTACCTTTCTGCTTGATGCTGGGTCTCACTGGGTTATTAAGATCAACAATAATATCAGCTCAGGTGACCACTGCATGCAGTGGAGCATTTATCTGCAATGGCTGTAGAGAGGGAAGTGCCTTCTGGTCTAAGGTAGCCTCACAGCCCAGTTTATAGAGTATTGTCTCTGTCAGTAACAAGCCACAAGCGTTATGCTGACCTTGCAAGGCCTAAAGCTTGTCAGGATTGCTTTATCTGAACTTGTCTCAACCTGCCTGGAGCTGTGCCTTGGCTTGTTCATCTGTGAAAGCAATGTTTAGAATGAGAAGAAATTTCAGGCATAACGTGGACTTACAGGCCAGTGAAGAAAACCCAAGCTGTTCAGTTTGTTAGCAAACATAAAAATGCTCCTACAAAAGCAAACAAAGAGTAAGGAAAAAGACACCATCAACATCACACACACGCTAGTAAAGATGGGCAATGCACCGAGTGCTGACAGCTCGCAATATTTCCTTTCTACTTTCATTGCCAGTGACTCTTAAGACCCATAAGATCAGTGGAAACGTGAGGAAAACATCTAAGAAAAAGGGGCAGATAGTAGGAAGCACGTGTATATATGATTTTTACCTTACTGGTTTTTTTTTTCATTCCCCTGCAGTAGTGTAGTAGGATTCTTTTCTCTCCTTTCATCTCTCTTTTCCTTTATTCTTGCTTTTCCTTTTCCCCCATAACAATTAGATCTGGACTAATAACAATTAGTACATTAGACTGTTAAAATTTCCATTACACTAACAATAATTTCATTATTTTGCATATAAGGTATGCCTCCTTTTTGCTTATCACGTGTTTTGGAGTATAACATGAATCCAATTAGCAGTGTGCAGAAGTTATAAGCTGACAATGACATTACCAGATAGAATCCCAGTAATGTGTCCAGGTGCTGCTGTCACTGTTTGAAAACTTACCTCTGCCATGACAAATTTTCAGGAGCAACTTCGTGGATTTACTGTCCAAAGCACCCATTACAGATCTTGTGGATCTTGTACATCTTATGAAACAATTCTTTTGACATCCTTACTGTCTTGTTTTCGGACAAGGCCTCACAGATACTTTTTTAAAAAAAAGACAGACATACATCTCACCATGCCTAGAACATAGGAAAGGGTCCAAAGAAGCCATCTGGAGAAACCATGTCGGGGAGAATCCAATTGTTCTTTGAATTCATTACTAAATGATATGGCAAATTGACTCTTTTGGTTCTCAGGTATATAAATCCAGCATTTCAAATGGAAAGGGTGACTCTGCAATAGGATAGGGCTTGCCAAGTCAATGCCAAGTCAAAATATTCCCAGAATGATGCAATGTAAAATGAAATAATTAGAATCAGGTGGTACAGTTAAGAACCTGCCTACATTGCAATTAGTTAATGTGTTTGAAATATTTGCTTTGAGGGAAGAGGGATACGTCAGTATTGCAAGATACCGTACAGTGAATTCACTTAAATTAGCTCAGTGACACAGACACAGAATGCACCCTCTTTAGGCTTGACCTGGTTCGGTTTAGGTCGATTACATAGTAATCATTAAAAAAGTATACATATATAAGTTCAATTCACTATGACACTGCTGTGAAGTCATCCTTAGTAGGGGGAGGGAAGTGTCTTCTTAAAAGGCAGTGTTAAACATGTCTCTTCAGAAACACAAATTCTGTGCTCGCGATCTTTCACAAAGTGTTCAAGAAAGCATGAAGGTGGGCAGGCAAAAGTGTTAACCATATTCTGTTTAGTGTGCTCCAAATCTAGCATCAGCCCTGTGTGCACATACATAGCCATATTTCAATCTTAATATGGCTATTTGTCTAACATAACTCTGCCAACGTCAATGTAGTCACTTCACATTTATTGGCAAGGAGGTTACCATTTCAGTTCATGCAGTGCAAAAGCACAGGAAACATCTGAGCCTGTATAGAGAATGTGATGGACAATTACTGGCAAGTGGTAAAAAAGAAACTTTCAGCCCATTTGCTGCGTAAGAAGAAACAGTAAGTGAAGAGTTTTTATATCCCTACAGTTGTCAGTTTGGTATACTGAATTAATTTCATATCTTTTTAATATGACTTCTTTATAAATGTTTTGCAGAAGAGAAGAAAATAAATACAACAGTAAAATGTTGTTTGAAAACTACATGCCACTTAGAAACTTTGTAATGCAAATGCTAAAAAATGTCTGGTCAAACGAAGCATGATTTAATGCAAATTTTATAAACACAACGTAACAAGAGGCATGCAACACACTGTATTGTGGTCCACGATGCACTCTGCTTGTTTAGCAAAGTGCTGAATAGCTGCATCCCTTTGTGTTTGTTGATGAATTAGTTCCTGGTGAGCGTGCAGGCAAACAATAAAAAGGCATTGACAAATTGGAGGACATATTAACCACGCATACAAAATAGCTGTGTAGCTGCATAGAAAGGTAACACAAAAGTAAACATGGAAGTGAAACAATTTCAAATGTCATTCTGTTTATATAAAATATCACATTCCCTAAACTTGAATAAAAAAAGAAGCCCTCATGAAAAACAAATGTCAACACTGTAACAGTGAAACCAGTGAACACGTTCATAAGATCAAGCTGGTAAAAATGTATGGTAACTGAACTTTCCCAAATGTCTATGTCACTGTGATCAAGCAGCATGGTAGCAATACTTCTAAAGTAGTTATGGATGGAGTATGAAAATATAATACAAATAATAAAAAAATTTGGTGCCATCAATACATTTTAAAGTGTTACATCAATCTCTGTATTCCAGTGTGCTGTAAGAAGCATTAGTACTGAAATGTACATAATGAGGAGCTGATGGGGGGGAAAGAAATTCTGTCTTTTCAAAATAGCATATAAATGACTGAGTTAAGTGTAAACTTTTGACTGGTATTCTGTGAACAAATGACACATTTTTAACTTATTTTCTTTCTTTTCTGCTAAATGGTATGCTTTCCCTGCAGAGAGAGGGGCTGAATACTTAGGAATACAAAATTCCTAAAACATAACAGAGACGAATGAGGCAAATGAAAAATCATACTATTAGGAAGGAAATTATCAAAACCTAGCATATGGAATGCTACTGCTGAGACAAGCATTCTGGCTAACTGTAACTAGAAATATGGATTTCCAGTTTTGGTTGCTGAGTGATAGAAAATACTTGCTCTGTAGAGAGGGCTTTTTCATTTGAAATTTCTTTTTGAAATTGACTCAAGGAATGGAATTCCTCTTCTCATCTATAGAATCTATTTTTTGTTTAGATTGACTCAAAGAAACTCTAGTTCCTTGTGCACTGTCATAATGAAATTGCAGAATTAAAGATCAATTTGTCACAGTAGATTTACTTCAAATGCAGATTGGCCATGTTCTGATCTCACCCAATCAGAATGCATTTCCTGCTTGTTTTTTTCTTTTGCAGGCAGAACAGTTTCCTTCTCCACATGGGATTCTGTTATTACCCTGTTTATATAAAACACTAATGCAGATCTTGGATTCATATTATTAAAATCACCCTACACTTTAAATACTGAAAATCTCTCTAAACATTTTGAAACAACAATCACTGTTTTTCAACAGTTTAAGGCTGCCAGAATGCTTTGGGGCTGAGACAGATATGATCCTGAAAGCAGACTATGTCAGCCAAGTTCAAGGACAGGTCAAGAATATGCGTATGCATAGCATTCCAGGTCAGGTTTTTCCAAACATAACTGTATTTTTCCACTCAGAAGTATTCTATTGGGTAGAAGCTGCTGGTTCTGCCTTTCTGAAAGTACTGCCCACGAAGCATGCACAAAACAAGAAGTGAAATAGGACTACATAATTCTTCCATGCATTCAACAATTTTGTTTTGATCTGAAAACATAATGGCCACAAAGAAACCAGCTGCGTGAGGATAAAAACAATGGCTGGTTAAAAATTAGTGCAGTTTAAGTAGTCTTCTGATAAAGAAGAAAAAATATTTTCTAAATTATTAAATGATTGTATTGTCCTTTCAAGAGCTTTTATGAAGACCCTGTCAGTAAATGAGTTTACAAGGGAAATGGAAATGGAACAAAGATGAATGCTGTCACCATCTGCAGACCAGCCTGCTTTTATATCTGCCTCTGAGAGAGTATCTCCCTTTCACTTGACCAAGCAAGGATTTATTTAAGAGCAGAACATGCACCTAATAAGTTTAAAATGAAGAGAAACAAATGTATGCAGCATTATTCTGTATAAATTCATTAAAAAATCCATCTTTTTTTTCAATTAGCCATGCTACTTTTTTGATGGTCAATAAAAAAACAGGGGCTGGAAGCCATTTCAACACTCAGTTTCTGTGGACGCATTTTCTTGTCTAGCTTTCTGTTCTTCTGTTGCACTGCCAAATGCTACTACTAAGTTAGTTACACTAGTAGCATGTCCTGGTCTGTTTAATTTGTCCTTTATAGACTTGGCTTTCCGAGAATGGCTGTGCAAACTCTTTGATCTTACTGATGGGAACCCAGAAGTCCTTTCTGGCTTTACTGATAACAAGTTCTCTGTCTGAGTTCTGACAGCGGCAGGCATAGAGGCGTAAGAGGCACTAATACCTGCTTCACCAACATCACTGTCATCGTCTGTGTCCATCTGTAACTGTTTCTGTTCTGCTTGCCTTTCTGCTTCAGAGATAATACCTGGGTATTCTGGAGGACGTTCTTGAGAAAGTTGCTGCTCAACTTCATACTTCCACTCTGTAGCCCACTGCTCAATTGTAGAAGGGCACACCTGATCCATGATGGTACTATATTCTGTTGTCCAGTTGTTTACCCCTCCAACCAGCTTCCCACCCTGTGCAAATATAAAGCTCCTTGACTTCATCATAGTAGTTTGACAAGCACCGAATGTTTCAGGAGGAAAATAGCGCATTGCTTTAGATTTGTCCAAGGGATAAGAGATGGTTGCCTCTAACTTGGTCCGTTCTACTTTCAGCTGAGTGTTTTGAAAATCTGATCTTGGTACTGATTGTCTGTTCATAATAACATCCATCTGGTTTAAACTTTGAGGAGCCATTTCATCCTTCTTGAAAATTCCTTGGTTTTCATCCCCCAAACCACCTGAGCCAGAATGGGGACTGGAAATATTCTGTGTAATGTCTAATGCAGATCTACTGCAATCTGCTGGGGTCACTGCATTAGCACTAGAGGTATAATGGAGACTGGTATGGTGCTCTGGAACCAGCATCCTTGGGTCTGCTCCATCTTCTTTTGTACCAACAGAATGGGCTTTTTTACGTGATCCCATAGCTGGCGACATTGAAGCGGTGCTGTCATCATATGCTAACTCATCGCCACCAACATGGTATCTATACATGCTGTAACCATCCGAGCTGTTGACACTGCTTTGCCTTAGGAGATACGCAGCATCACATTCAGATGAAGCCCGTGATCGTGTATACGTTAGCTCAGATTTGTCAACACCTGCCAGCTTCTCAAGAGCATTCACCATCCGACCAGATAGTTCTTCTAACTGAGAGAGTCGAAGGTCAACCGTTTGAAGAGAAGCTTTCATAAAATGTTCTCTTTCATTCACTTCTTCTAGCCTCATTGACATATTTTCAACTCTGTCGGATGTAAAAGAGGAAGCATAAAACATACAGTGGGATGGTGCAGTAACCCATTATAGGCACCAGCTACTAATTTCTTCTAATGGCAGAAATCTATGCTATGTATAACTCATCACTTGTTCCTGTTTGTAGCACAGTGCTTGTGCATTTACTTTTACCTGCGCTTTCCTCACACTATTTTAGAGGACTATTTGAACTTCGCCTTTATTTACATGCCAGGACAGTACAAGACTTGCAGCCCTTTGTTAGAGCCTACTATTAAATTCCTCTCTGAGTGTGCCACCCGCTTCACATTCAGTTATCCTCTTTCACAGTGAAGCACCAATTAATTATATGAAAAATACCTTCTAAAGGCATGTTCACAGGATGACTTAAAATAGCATCCAGGCATGTTGTAAAACAGGTTTTGTGGCTGTATGAAGAGAACACACTACTGTTTACAGAATTACTTTATGTTTTGAAATACCTTCCAATTAAGGATAAGAGCAAAGGGGAACAGAATTTATTTTCTTTTCCTTTATTTATTTTATCATTTAGTTCATAATGGACTTGATGGTACTAGGAGAATGCATGTAAAAGCCAGGCATTAGGATGTGACTTAGAGAACATGCAGTACTAAATCAACTGTGGAAATTAAATTAACATTCTTTTGCTCTCGCACACAAAAGATGATGAAGCATTTGGAGCAAGAAGCATGAGAATTATGCAAATCTGGTTTGTGGCTACAAGATCATAGTGAATCATGAGGCTTACCAACCCTGCTTTATTCTCTCATACAATACCTAGGATTTTGACAAATTACCATGGATAGTGTAATAGAAATGAGTTGATGACACACAGCAGATTTCATTTACTTCTCTGTTCTCAAATTCCACATATAATATTGCAAGGTGTTTACTGCTTGCCTTCAACAGAAAGATATTTATCTGTTAGGGAATTAAATGGCTTATGGAACAACCTCATTAGAAATGTTAAAAGGAAGTGAGATATATATACATAGAGAGTGGTGCATAATTAAAGAAGAATACTGTGAGGGAGATTAAGGCAAAAATGTTTAAACTATGTACCATTTCCATTATAAGGAGAATTATTCATCATTTCAAGGAGGTGATAAGAGACCTCATCCCCTGAGTTACTTAGAGCTACTACTAGAATAGGCAAAGCCTTTGGGAACAGTTCTGCCAAAGGATATGATACAAAAGTGCTGCTGCCATTGTAACTATTTGATTTCACATCAATACACAAACATCACCTAGTCCTCAGAATAGCTTCATCATTTGCACTTGACTATTCCCTGTCTTTTAGATGAGGAAGTCCACATAGGAAAGCTCAATACCTTGTTCAAAGCTTCTAAGAGACTGCTGGCAGAGGTACAAATTTGGCTGTTCTGAGTGCTGGACTGTAGTCTGAATCATAGGTATGAGTGAAGAACTCCCAGTACTTTTGTTATTAAGCTCTACCATGTTTATTACGATTGAATTAGCTGCTGGAATCTGAACATGTACTATTTTGCTCAAGCAGATAAGCAGCATAACTATGATCTTAGCTGGGTGAGACGGAAAAAATAACTCTGAACAAAAATGCTCTTACACTGAAGCTACCCAAACCTTAGTGGTATGCTATCAGGAGCAACAAAAAGCTTGATTTTGTGAGAGATGCATCTGCACTGACATTTACCTGGGATTAAGATTCTGAAATAGTGGTGGTTTTCTTAAAGGTCTGAAACCATTTGTACTTTAGGTGAACTATGGTTATAATGAGGGACAAAAAAGCAATGTATTGTTCCAGACGATGTCGGGGGTTTTTTAATTTGTTTTAAATAGGTACCTTTCAGAGGTAACTCTGATGCGCTCATCATTAGACGATTGCTGCTCATCCTCTTTTTCCTGAAAGTATTCTTCCACACACTGCTCTTCAAACTCGTACAGCTTTTTTAGCTCTTCATCATTTAGAAATAACTCTGTGAAACAGAAGAAAAAAAATATTAATTTCCTTTTTCTGAAAATCTGTCAGTCAGTTTAAATCCAATGTAGTGGGCTATTTCAGACAGATGGATACTGCAAATTCCACTCCTGCACTAAATGAATAGATGATTTTGTAGATAGGAAATGAGTACTTAGCCAAAATGGCCATGGTTCTGAAAGCAGTGTGATGCATTATGACTGTAATCTTCTTCTATGACCATCCACAGTATGCTGTATTTTCTCACAGACCTTTGAACTTTTTAATAGTAGTGCTACATTTTGAACAAACTGAGCAGATTTTACAGGGTAAGACAATCTTTACCAGCTTGATAGTTCCTTAATTCAAATATTGCTCATAAAGCTTGCCAGTTATAGGCAATAGATAATCTAATATAACAGTTTCCCAGACATTCTTTGGATAAGACATTCAAAAACTTAAAATTGAGTAAAGAAAATCCAAGGGAAACATAAGCTCTTGGGACATTTTATCCTTGATTTGAATTAGTCTCCTTTTATTTGTAGGGACCGTTATATTTACATTTTTTTCCTCAGTTTTTTTCCTGTTTTTAAAATCAAAAGCATATTGTGCAAACATATAATAATTGCAGGGTATTTTTCCTGTGAAATGCAGAAATACAGGAGTAATTGTGAGCATCTGATTATCTCAGTGAGGTACATAATGAAAAAATAATAATTGCAGAGAATGTTAGAAGTAGAATGCTCACATCCTTGTAGTTCTGTGAAATGACAGATAGGTCTATAACATGGAGAAATGAAAGTGGTGGTACACAGATTGCTCACAATCACAAGGTTGAATGTACAGATGACATTTGATACTGTGGCCTCTTCTTTTCAGATTCCTATTTGCCTCTTCCGGTGTATGAACTTCACAAGCACATGTTGAAAATGGATTATGTGGATGCCATGTCATCCATGTCAAGAAAGTGTTCATTAGCAGTGCAGCATCACATATACTTAAGGAAGAGGTCAGTAGCTGTTAACCTGATATAAAATTTGTTCCATGCTTCCTCTGCAAATACATTGGACCATAAATGTGAAGGAAATTAATATTTTGTCATTGGAAAAGCTACTCCTTTCTGCTATCATGTGCAAAAAACTCTATTCAGAGAAGATTTACTGCATACTCAGCCCCCTGTCACGCTCATCCTGGTCTCCTTCACGCTTCTTGCAGCGACAGCAGACTCGCTTGATGATTATGTAGAGGTGGCTGAAGATAATCATTGGTGGTGGGAGGACAGGTCTGTCATGGAATGTCATGATCAGCTGGTACCGCTGGAACTTCCACACTTGGTTGGATATTGATTTTACTTCAAAGAAGGTATTGCTGAAAGAGAATAGGTATAATTTTCATTGGGCCTTTAAGTTTACTTAACATTTAACAAGAACAACATTGAAAAAAGAAGACACTAAATAACCACATGAGGCCACACAACTTGCTTGGTTCAGCTCTTTGTTGATGCAGCTGAACTTGATAAACTAATGATTACACTAAACTCATTATTTCACTACTTCTTTTGAAGGTAGCAAAGCAGGTGCACCACATCCCCTATGCACCACCTAAAAGAGTCCTCTTCATTTTCTTCTACCACATAAAGCATTTTAGCTGTCAGTTAAGATAAATGTGCACAATTTATGAATCAGATAACTAGTATTTTGGAGCTTGGTTATAAAGTACTTCTATTAATATATACTCATATTTGATATTTGACAAAGTATTAAATCCATGAAAGATATTTTCCACGCTAAGCCCAGAAGAGTCACATCTTTTTTCTTTTAACATGTTAATCAGCTTGACCTATATAGAACACTTCTCAAGTTTTTACAAAATGCCCTAAACTTAAACTTTGTTCATTCAGACTTCTAATTTGAAAATATTGCATATTCATTTAAAAGGAGTTGTTTGTGGGAGTTACAGCTTCATCATTTCTACATCAGAATGAGTTTTATTATAGAGACAATCTATTAGCAATTCAGTGAATACGAAGGAATAGAGAACTGTATTCAATCCAGAGACAACAATATTCAATGTTACAAGATGCAAACTAAGAAAATTTGGAAGTTCTGTCTTAGATGATTTTTTTCAAGCTATTTTAAAATATGCTAGGACAGTTCATTTCTATGATGATCCTGACACTTCCTCTTTTTATCTTTTCTATTTCTTTTCTAACTTTCTGTGCTTTGGAATATTCACAAAACCAGACAAGACACTTCTTCAAAAATGGAGAATTCTTGAGTGCACAAATCACTCAATTTCTTTTGACTAAGAATATGAGATTACTTACACAGATAAATGTCAATCTGACTTCATTCTATGTCTCCTGCACAGCAAGAATTACCCAGCTACAACTCACCCCCCTGCAACCATGCTAGGATAGCAGGAGTTAACAGTATGACCTACTTCTGAAACTGCTGATTCCTTCCTCTCTTCAGCCAATAATAGTTACCATTGTAAGATGCTTCCCCTTCCCCCTAGCAATGTGACTGGCATTTGGGTACTTTAAAATTCATGACCTTTTAAGCTAAATACATCAAATGAAAGACAGGCTTTGTGAGCTGTAGCTTTCTGGGCACAAAATGAACTATTTTTGTGGTTGTGCTGTCCATTACCTATGCCAGCAAACCCTGCAACATTGCATATCTATGGGAATCAAAATGGAATCACCTGCTTTTCTCAATAGGTGTTTTGGGAAAATTTTACTAGCAAGGAGATGTATTAATTTTTCCTATTTTTATTTTCCAGTTCCTAGCTCATTATAGGAAATGCATGAGGCATAACTGTTGCATATAACTGTTGGCAGAAAAGTACAAGCAGTGGAAATGCATTTAATTTTACTCCAGAGAATTCTAAGCATGGATTTACGGAATAATGCTATGAATTTGCACAGTTGCACATTGGTTGCACTGCCATAAATGCAGCCATAGATTTTAGTAAAATGTACCTATCTTTTCTCTTGGTTTAAGGTAATATACACTCCTTTCCTGGGAGATATAGGAACTCTGCAAGACTTTCATTTCTTTTTCTCTAAATTAGAAGCAAAGTAAGAAGAAAAATAAGGAAAAGAAGCCAGATGATGCATGGATGCAGCGGAAATGTCTCATATTTTTGATGTTCAGATTTTCATTCTGCAGATCTATGGTAGAATCATGTTTGCCAGTGGTTGCAAGAGTTCTATCACATATATAGGTTTAGTGGATTCAGTTTTCATCTTTACAAAACAATCTTGAAGCCTGTCAGTAACCATTAGACCCTAATTGTAAGTAGTCATTCTCTCATACACATCACTGCAAATCTGTACCAAATTTTCTTTTGCTCTTTCCCAATGTATTCCAAATATTTACTAGTCATGTTCATAGAGAAATTTTGAGCGTGAATGCAAACCCTTGCAAAATCTGTTGATGGACTCTCACTGAAACTTTATCTTGACAATAAGAAATTAGTGCATAATCATTTACGTACTTGAAGACTGCAATCAGCAGGTTTACCAGCAGAATATTTGCTACCAAGAGGTAACAAGCCATAATAGCAGGAGTGAGCCAGGCCCCTGGTATGCATGGAGGGAGACGTTTACCATCCTCATCGTAAAGATTGTCACCACAAGGAGCTGAAGAAAAGACAGGAAAGGTATTTACATTTCCTGATACTTGAGAACAGACTCACTTATAGATGACACACATGTAAAGTCTACCAAACCAAATAAATTTTGCCAGTTTATTTCCAGTGGCAAGTATGTATAATTTCTAGTCCAAATTCTGCTTCTAACTACACCACGCAAAAATAATTTCACATAATAGTGAATGGTTACATGGCTTAAGGTTTAATGCACAATGTAGCTTCCTCTTCAAATTCACATGGCTTCTTTTTTTTCTCCACAGTAACATTATAGAACAAGATCTTGATGTGCACATGTATAATTTTATAACAGCATTTTAAAAACATCTCTGACTAAACTTGTGTGCATATCTTTTCAAATACATAAACGGATTTATTTAGTGGTCCAAGATTGCTGAACGTGTATCAGGCCTTCATCAGAGCTCTGAGTGTTTAAGTAGGCCCTAACTACCTTAAACAGCTTCTCCTGAGGTCTACACCTACAAGCCCTACGCATATCTGTTCTTGCCCAAGCTACATCAGGTGTGCAGGCATCACATTTTTCTCATGGATGGACTTTGGACCTATACTTGTCTCCTGGATAAACCCTTCTTTTGTTTCAGCCCTGTCTTCTCTCACTGCAACCTGAACTCCCTAGCTAGGCCCTGGATTATTACTTGCCTTGTCTTGTTAGCAATTAGCAGCAGCCATCTCTGAGAGACTGGGTCACCCTGGGGAGGGCATTGCTCACCCTAGGTCCCTGCTCTCTCTTATCCTTAGGGCCAGCCCTGCTCTTGTTGCTTCCTGGAGATCAGAGCTGCAAATCTGCCCCGAATACCAAGTACTGCTACACAGACAGAAATTGTTTATGATTAAAAAAAAAAAAAAAGTCAGTAAACCTTTATTTTTTTCCCTTGAAAAAAGTCATAAAGTTGTATGCATTTATTAACTTGTTCTTGAGTAGAAAATTTCAGTTTCTCATCTTTTTATGCCAACTTTCTTTATTATTCACAATCGTAATTTTATCTTAAGGAGAGTATAAAAGGGAAGTCAAATTAATCATAATATTACTCATGTGGACCAATGAAAGTAATGCTAAAAAAGCCACCAATACAATATCTAGATAATCGAAGGGAATTATTTATAATGTGACAATCATGCATGATAATTTTAAAAAATGATTACCTTACTGGCAGTCTACTAGAAACAAATCATAGCAATCACATAAGCTTGACTAAAACTTCTGATGTGCAACATATATTACGATAGTTTTCCCCTTCTTTTCAGATGAAACTATTTTGGTAGCAAAACAACGCACACATGAATATCAAATGAACCCTATAATTAAAATGTCTAGTGAAGATCTAGCATCTAGTGAAAAGATTAATGAACATATTCAGCTAAATGAGATAATCAGCTCCCCAGATAGACTTACGATTGATTTCCATGGCATAGACTGAATTGCATTCCAGTGGAACAAAATGAAAAAGGAAGCAAGGAGAGAAAGAAGACAATAGAATAATATAGGGAAAAAAAAAAAAAAGAAAACAACAAAGAAGATGATTGAAAATATAGTTTTGCTGCCAAGAAAGTATAAACAAGTCAAGTGTCAAAACAGTAGAGACATGCAGTTAGAAAGAATGTCTTTGTTAAAACTGCGTGGTATATTGTAATTTCCTTTTCATTTTGTGTTCCCCAAACGTTACACATGGCAGCAAATTCATGACATTAAAATAAACCACAAAATGCTGATGGCAGATGATCGTTTAAACACACAAAATATTTCAGGCAACTAAACAAAATTGATAGTCACCACAAACACAAAATAACTCAGTTACCACATGAAATCATTCTTTCAGCTATTAAGGAAATATTTCTCATTTTTATTATTATTTTATCATTTTAAGGATCATCTTAGCTTTGAGTTCACTAGCTGTTTCTATTGAATAGCTAAGTTTCCGTTAATAGTCATGATACTGCTGTCATTACAGTACAATATCACTAAAGCTCATTTAGATGGCAGTATAGATACTTGCTCCCCAGCCCCTAAATGGCGATTGTAAAAAGAATCACAGTATTCGAAGAAACTCAGCTCAGCTTCTCTATTGTTTAAGAATATGTTGCTGATGAATAACACTAACTTGTTGATCATGGGCATCTTCTGAATGGAGTGAATCAGACTGAAGACAGCATTAGGAAAAGCATTACCAGCAAGTGGAGGGAGGTGGTTATTCCCCTCTTTCTACCTTGGTGAAACCACATCCGTACTAGCATATGTACATTACAAAGAACGTAGAGAATATACTGTGCACACTTTTCAGAATATAAGCAGCTCATTGAAACAGCATATACACAGTGCTGGAATAGCAGCTTGTACTGTTCCAGATAAAGTGCAAAGTGCATAATGCACACTAAAGAGGGCCAGCTGCATGTGTGACTGTACAAATTTCAAACATTAACACAAAACTATCAGTAACATGGCAGTGACAGTGTCCATCTCCTCAAAAACAGACCTTTTTTTTTTTTTTTTCAAACTGCAGCTTTTGTACATAAAATGCTATTTCCACAGCTGAAGCTAATCAAGCTGATTTATTTTTATTTTTTTACTTTTCCACAGAGAAACATGATTGATTTGTGAAACTGAAACATTTCTGGAAAATGGATACATGTATCCATGGTAATATAATTGCAGACTCTCATTGCTTGTGCTACCAGTTGGAGATGAAAAAGCGTGTTACCTATATGTCATATCTATTTTTGACTCCTGTGCAAAGTATTCATTTTTTTCTTCTTAGGTAGGAACAGTTTCTTAGTAAAATATTAGTTCAAGAGAAAGTTTAAGAATGATCTCTGCTTATCTCTGCAAGTAAAGAGAACATTTAATATTGTTACCCACTCAGATAGGCAAATAATCCAGACTATATCACACTCAGCGTTAACTGAACTGGAATTTTTGGTTAGAGGCAGGACATGCAGGTGGGGAACAAAAAATTCATTAGTGTCTGGAGTCTGTCACAGGAAAACCCTCAAATGGACAATTACACTCTAATTCCAAATTAAAAGCAAACATTAATTTGGATCTGATCATCTGCCTCATAAACAGGAAACAGAATCTTACTATGAATTCTACTCTTACGGTCTATCTGGTCTGCGAACACCTCTCCGTAGATCATCCAGTAGGGCATATAGAAGATGTTCCGAGCTAGTCTCCAAGAAGGCTCCTCATCTGGGTGCAGGATTGCTTGGCGTGCTACTCCAAAACTCATCAGAACCACAAGCATGATGACCACAAAGTAGAGCATGTCAATCATCTGCACAAAGAGACCATACAAATGTTCTTATCATCACCAGTTAGTAAAGTGACATCAACGTATCTGTTTGCCAAAGTGTTGTAAAGTGAACAAGAAAAGTAGCACACATTTTCCTGGATAATTTTCCTGATATTGATCTCCAAATTTAACTAATACTCGTGAGATAAAAATACATTAAAAGGCAAAAAGAAGTCATTTAAAGAAATAATAGATCTATATTTTTATAAAAGACTTAACATGGTAAAAAAAAAAAATATATCGTTATCCCTATTCTCTTTTGTATCAAGTGCACTTTGTTCTGCTTTCAGCACAGAGTTTTTCTGTGGTGATAAGGAGATGGCAGTCTTTGCTGTATAATTTACTAACCATCTTTCCAATCATCATGACGTAAGGTCCCAGATATTTGTTCACACCGAAGATATCTAGTACTCTAATGTACCAGAAAATGATATCTACACAATAAATTACTCTTCCATAACCCATGTAAGGCTGGTTCTGTAGGCGAAGTATTGCTCCTATCATAAATACTGAAATAGCCACCAGATCAGTAATATTCCAGTATTCCTGGAGCCAAACTTTCACTTTTTGACTCAGCTTTCCAGGCTCTGACATGAGAATCTGAAATAAAAATTAACAAAGACATAATTAAGAAAAATGTAAAATAACATTTCTGAAGTCGTGAAAAAAAATCAATCTTGTCACATTCTTCTCTCACATTAGACAACAGAGACCACCCCTATTTGCAGCAAAATTTGCCTTAAGCTGGAGAGAGTCCTGCAGAGGGCTACAGAGATGACTAGAGGTCTGGAAGATCTCCCTTATGAGGAAAGGCTGAGATATCTGGAACTGTTTATGCGCAGAAGAGAAGACTGAGAGAGGATCTTATCAACACTTATAAATATCTAAAGGGCAGGAGTCAAGTGCGTTGGGCCAGACTCTTTTCAGTGATGCCCAGAAAGAGAAGAAGAGGCAATGGGCACAAACTGGAACACAAGAAGTGTGTTCGAACATGAGAAAAAGTCTTTAATTTGGGGGTTACATAGCACTGGAAAAAGCTGCCCTGAGAGGTTGTGAAGTCTCCTCTGCAGGTATTCAAAACTCACATGGACTATTTCCTATGAAACCTACTGTAGGGTTGCTTTAGCAAGGGGGTTGGACTGGATAATTCTTTTCAATGGCTATGTGATGTAAGTATGACCATACTTTACCTCTCTTACTTTCTCTAAAGCCAATGTCACAATGTAGGAGATGACAATCCATTCCTGGACAGATGGCCACCGCTCCATCCGCACCAAGATGATATAGTTAAATAGCATCAAGTAGCCCAGGTATGATATCTATAAAAAAGAAATCCTTTATAGACTTTTGTGACATTCACATGAACACATAGACTATGCATGACAGTTTCAGGTGCTGAAGACCTACTTGTAAAAGGAAAAAGCTTTTCTTCTCTGAAGAAAGTGTGCTTACTGCAATGCTCTTCCTACTACAGCTGCCATGCAAACTGGTAGCTCCAGCAGCTTGATATGATTCAGGCAGCTGCTTATTTGTTGAAATAAGCAGTATAATGCCAAAACATTCTAAATCATGCCCCATTTCCCTGGGGCATTTTTAATATACTACAGTGTAATTTCTTTACTCCATGAAATCATATTTAATACTTTTATTTGAAATTCAGTGGGAATTAATATTTTGAATTATTATCACTGACTTCAGAAAAATAGATAATTATTCAGTGTGCTAAAACAAACAAAAAAAACCCTACATAATATAATGACATACAAGATACCACAAGTTCTAACTTAGCATAAAATGAAAACATTATCCTTCATGTAGGGCACACAAAACTCAGCAGTAGCAAGAATATTTATTTTTTATTAGAATGGAAATATTTTTTGATGTGCTAAAAAGAAAATGAGATGATTGTAGTTCAGATTGGCTTTAATTACTTAAATAGGAGAAAAGATTTTATTAAGCCTTAGGGATCTGTGCTTCCATCAAGATTGCATTTGACAGAGTGAATGGCAAGCACCGATACTGCAGCATTGGTTGTTGGGTCCTAAAGTATATTTAAAAGCAGAACAGGATCCAGAAGCCTTTAGAAAGCAAGAGGATCTAAATTAGCTTGTACTGAGTGACTGAACTGTGCAGCCTCCTTTAAAGTGTGTAAGAGTTTAGGAGGTGACAGCATAAGCTACAGTTATTTGTTCTATTTCACTCTATTTTTCTCTAAATAAAGAGAGTGCTTTACTCATCAGATTCCCTGAATAATTATTTATGTTTTATGTGGTTATTATTTTTACATTACTATTAAAGCTTTAACTTTCATAGGCATGAGAAAAGTGATCACTATCAGTTTAATCACCATGACTTACTGTGTAGAACCAAAATTTGACAATAGGAGCATTATAGAATTCATAGATCTTTGTTCCAATTGGAAGGCTGTTTTGCTTTTTATTTGCATTCTCTTCATCCCCTTTCCGGGAACCTGTATCCACATTTGCATCCTAGAAAACCACAGTTGTCAGTTTACACCAATATACAACATCAAAAACAGTAGCTTTTCTCATTTATAATCTCAACCACTAACTACCAAATGCTTCCTCTGAGCAACAGACTTCCTGTTGACTTTTTAAAAATACAAAAACTATGAACTATAGTAAATCTGCAAATATACAGATAATTTGTATGCCCTGGGAATCCAACCTATATACTCTTCACTGAACCAGTTGACATTTTATCCAGTGTGAGCACAGAAAAGTTAGGAAACTTAGCACTCTTACAACCAGAAGTTACAAGCTCCTGATAAACTCCAGTACTGACCACATTTTCCTCCTCCTTTTCTTTGCCTTCTTCATTTTCTCGCGATGTCTGGTAAGAATAATCATCGTAACTGCGAAACTCTAGGAAAAGGATGGTTGGAGGGAAGAGAATCCCCATTATAACCTGTTCAACAAGAAAGAATTCAACTCAGACAGCAATATTTATTTAAACTAATAGATTTCATAAAAAGGCAAATCTGATAATTAATTTTTTCTTTTGCACAGCATTCAAGATACTCTTCTATCTCCAAATCTACAAAAATAATGTTGGTAGTTGTAGTAGTTAAGAAGCGTAATCAATAATTTGTCAATTGAAAGACTCCATTTTCATAAATACACTGCACGTAAGAAAATGTGCTCTAGAATTAGAGTTGACCAGAGAAATGAAACAGTAGCAGTTGACAAAGCATTTCAGGTTTCTTCCTGGACTTTACAGTTACTTTAGTCAACTGCTGTAATTATAATTTTTATAGTTAAAAAACTTGTGAAAGTATAAGGAGCTGTGCAGATAGCACCCAGAGTTCTACTATATGAGAATGCAGAGATATAAAAACACAGGCATAAGTACAGAAAAAAAGTTAAAGAGGAGAGGAATGCAGGCAACAAAACTAGAACATCAGCAGATGATAGCACCATCATGATAGATCTTTACAAGGATGACAGCAACTACCTTATATAACAAAGAAGAGTATATTCACCTACAAACTCTCACACACAAACAAACAATGCTCTGTTTCCATGACAATGGTTCACTCATATTTGTATTTTGTGACAGCCTTCTCACATTACTCTTTTCTAAATTTTTTCTGCAGGCCCACTGATCAGGAAGCATAAAAATCAGTACAAGGTACAAAATAATTGAATCACAGAAGAGAAGAATAAAAATCACACGATTTCACACACTGTGATTTCACACATTTGATTGTTATCAAAATTGAATCTTAATTTTGTGTCTTTTGGAGCAATATTAAGAATCTGTCCAAATGTAGATTCTTTTCTCTCTAATCCCACTGTGTGTACCCATAGAGAAGATACTTTTGCTTCTACTAATTTTTAATCTGAGTTTCATGTTTTTAATGAACAGATTTTATCATTCATTGAAAGCTACAACTTTGCTTTCAGATCCAATCATATTAAGCTTTTCATAGTTCTTTTTCATACGTCATTTTCCTTTGTCCTGGTATGTTAGTCCTTAGATTTCCTGAGTTTGGAAAAAAAAAAAAAAAAAGAGAGATTCAAAACAGATACGTTCTTAAAGCATCTTTAATTAATAAGCCTTTTTTTCTATGCATACACTATATCTAATATAGTGTTATGTGCAACAAATTGTATCTTTGAAAGCAAATGCAGAACAGAAATACCTTAAGGCCTGGGTTTTTCCGCATACGTAGTCGTCCCATCCACATATCTGTTAAGAGCATCTGACTGCACGTATGAGCTATGAAGTCCCTGTGTTTAGCTGCCACAGCCAGCTTCAGGCAGGTAGAATTACTCCAGTTTTTTAGTTCGTAGGTCAGTAGTTTCATGGCAATCTGCTCATCATGTTTGTAGGACTGATCCAAGAGTTCAACAGCCAGCTGGCCAAAATCTCTGTAACAAGATCAGTCTAGTGAAGTTTGATTTAGAAATCTGTGTTTGCATGCAGTTGGGATTTTCATTTCGTTCATATGGGGTTATGTTTTTCTATACACAATGACAAGAGCAATAGAATCTCAGGCTTGATTTGGAATAGTTTACAGAAGTTCCAAACAAATTTGGAACTAGAGAGAATTAGCTTAGACCAAATGACATCTTAAGACCAGTTTACCTAGATCATCAGATGGCCCTTAATTCATATAAGCACACCCTCAAAATAACACTGTGAAGTAAAACTAGTTAGTTTTATAGAGAAAAGGTGAAGAAAGAATATGTACTGCCAGAAAAAAAACAACACAGATCTTCTTGCTAGCATTACCTTTAGACTGCGAGCCAAAAGTTTGGGTTTTTTTACTGTTGATAAACAGGCTCCAGACTGCATTCTTTGAACCTACATTCTGGAAATTAAGTGTACTGTACTAAAAATCAAGCTTCTCAGCAGGTCAGACAATTTCCTGTATCAGGAGACATATACTATGCTCTGTAACTACTAACTTTGAGTTGTTGTCCAGATCCTGAGAGATGTCATCCACCAGTTCACTTTCAGAAGACTCATGCGCCATAGATTTGTACAGCTTACAAGCAACAAGTGCTTTGGCCATAGTTTCCTCCCCTCGTTGCCAAAGGAAGAGTGCCATCTTTTGCCTTTTCATCAGCACGGCCCATAACATCAGTTCATGAAATGGATACTGAAAGCGGCTCACTTCTGGGTCGTCCACATCAATATCAATCTCTTCCTCCTTTTTCTTCTTCTTCTTCTTACCTTTCGTAGGAGGCTCATCATCCTGGGAAGAAAACAAGAAAAACTCTTAATACCAATCTTTATCATCTGATTTGATGACACCATAAACTAAATGCATATCGAGAGGTTATGATATTAATAGTTATGCCTTTTTTGTTGCTTGCTGTAATGAATGCCAATGGAAATAAAAATATGACAAACATGTGACCAAGCATGCATTGGGCTAGCACACTTAACACAGGTGAATGTTTTATTCAGAGAACCACTTTTTACACACTTAATTAGAAGTTACTTATCTTGGATACGTACGGTAGAACTTTATTGTTCTGAAGCCAGCACTTCACACTGCATTGCTAGGGGATCTCTACTGCATGTGTAATTGCATCATTTGAGTGATAAGGAATTAGTATTTAATGAATTCTTCTGCAGTGTAAATGGAGCTTTACCAAACCTGAATTCACTATAAAGGTTCTACTCTAAGTTTTTATTTGATATATCTGTATCCATTCTTGAAGAACAGTGCTGCATATCTTACAGGTATCAAAGCAGTATTCAGACTGACATGCAGGTAGAGAAAGTGGTTAACATGCAAAGGGGAAAAGGCAGGCAGACAGCATTCTTAAGAACAACAAGATACTTAAGGGAGTGTTCACCTTTGAATAAGCAATCTCCTCTTATGTATGCTGTGCAAACAGAAGGTAAAGTATCCTGTTTCTTAAAGGGATAGAGAGGATAGGCCATTACTACAGGAACCAACATGGGAGTAACTGAAGGGAAGTACTGACAATGAAGCAGGATCCTGAAGGGAGAAAAACCATGATTGGGTAAATAAGGGTTTAAATTATGTAGGAAGAACATTGCATATATAGGTGTAGAGAGAGTTTATCACCACTGTAGGCCTTGATTGTGATCTCAGAAGAGGACCGCAATTAAATCCCATCCTACAGAACTTAGATGATCTTAAAGATCCCTTCCAACCCAAACCACTCTTCAATTCTACAATTCTATGAATCAGTTTTTGTTCATATAAGTAATCTCACCTAATAATCTCAGCACCATTTTATTACAACAACCAAACTTAAACCCAAATTCAGGTTTCCGCCTTACTCCTCAGGTTTCCAAAGAAAACTCTTCAGCTCAACACTTAAGTAAGCATTTCTCTTTCAGCAGTTCTAAGAACTGCAAATGTTGACCTCTATTTCTTATAAAAAATTTAGGGGGTCCTAAACTGCATGCAAGTGATTAAAGTGTAAAGCATCTTTGAAGAACAGAACATAAAATCTCAAATGAAAGGCCAAAAATCGGGTTCTCCCCACAGTAGGAAAATCAAGTCAGAACAAAACCCTGGGTGGGAAGGACAAAGTACTGATGAGTCTAAACTTCCTGTTTTAAAGCTTTTAACTCTGGAACTGAAAGACAAAAAATTGGAGATGCATCAAATTACTGACCTCTTCAACAACAGAAAAATTGATTTTTTATTTCAACTTTTCTTCCTCTTGGAAGAAGGGAGTGAGCTATACCCACTATCAAATGGAGAGAATGCGTCAATTTGTGCCATATACAATATTTCCCACTGGAAGAAATAGGAAAAATAAAAATGTGCCTTTAGGGAAGCACTAAGTAACCTACTTGTGATCAACACTGATCAAACAGGTCTGCACTTCTGAGGTGTGAGCATTTGGCTTTCATCCGTCAGAAAATAGGAAGTTGATCACAGAGATTAAATACAACTGTGGAGAAGAAAGCTGCTTATCTGCTTGGGGAAATAGAGGCTTTCGTGTGCAGGTAATATATAGAGTATATATCAAAGGTAACACAAGCAGTAGGTACGTATACTGTGTTCGAATACTATGAAAGCATTAATAAAAGTATACTTCATAGAGAAATGTCCCTGGACTCTTGACATAAATGCCCTCCCACAGTATATTAATACATTTTTTAGGAAAAAAAAAAAAAAAGCATCTGCTTCCATGAGTGAGCTTTGAAGCATCATCTCAGACTTGATCCTGATCAATTCAAAATCTCTGCAGGCACACAGGTAATTGAGGCAGGGTTTTGGTTCAGTTCCATCTCATATTTACAAAGCACAGTGCCATCACTGCTAGCAAAGACATTTTTTAAGTGGAAAAGAGCATTTAACATGCCACAACACAACACACAACATTTTTTTTTTCACTCCACTTAAATGTTGTCTCTATGATAAGAACTCGTTTGTATATTAATTATTTTCACAGTTAAAGGGGATTTGCCTACACACAGTACTGCTGGACTATACTCTTCAATATCACCAATGTTCACATCTCAATTATTTAATCTACAGTACATTCCAGCAAAGAACGTGTTATTACATAATAGCGCTGAAAAACTGCCTATGGATTACTTAGCAAAGCTTTAAGCAGCTCTGAGGACCATACCAACAAAATAAAGTCAGAAATACTTCATAGACTGATTGCAAAACAGATACTCTCTAGCTGCAATTTACTTTAAGCCACAGCAACAGTGAAGAAGCTAAGAGCAAGAGCAACAATTGTACCAAGAAACACACTGATAAAACCAGTATTTTACAATAAAACCATCTTACCTCCATCCCTAGTAGTTTAAGAGCTTTTGGCTAAATATTAAAATAGAAAAGAAAATTAGTTAGGAGGCAAAATTCAAAAACTAAAAAATGCAAAGGAAAAACACATTTTGATTAAACTTTCTATTCTAAATAACCATATCAATAATGGTACAATTAATTAATCTTCTCCTTAATTGTATTTTCTGGAAGGCAATGGGTTAGAAAATTTTTTCCATCCTGCACTCAGTTGAAATATTTTGATTAAGTTGGAAGAGTTAAATAAAAGTCATCAGAGAATAAAAAGTCATCAAAGAGAATAAAAGTCATCAAATTTTCACAAAAAGTAAAAAATAAAATAAAAATGTTGCTTCTGAACAGAAACAGAGTAAATGTACTCATGGGAAACATGAAATAAAAATGAAAAATACAACAGATCTTCAAATCTTTTCCATAAAAATATTTTCTTGGATAGAAAACTACTTAAATAGAAGGCAGTTCACCTCCAGATCAAAGTATTTACCATCTGCTGGCTGCTTCTATTAACTAAAGTGTTTTATGGATCCTTACATAACTTTACTACTAGAAGTTCAACATCAGTCTTACAGCATTTCTTTAGCACTGGACATGTAGTGTTTCACAGTGATGAAGGAACAGCGTACTAGTTATTTTTACCATCAGCATGATGGCCACATCCAGAATTAACTCATTCTTACCCTCTTTGGTCCAAATAAATTATTATAAAGAGTCCGAAAACTTTTTCTAGTATAGTTGCAGCGATAAGCTCCACCCATGAGATATTCAAGTACAAGACCAATATCTATTAGGCTGATATGATAATCTGGTGGAAGATTTCCCTACCAAAGCAAGCAAACAAACAAAAGAACAAAATAAGAACTTAGAACAAGAAAACATAACGTACATGAAATTTATATTGGTGCAGCAGTAATATTTATAGACACTTGTCTCAGTCTCTGATTGTTTATACAAAATTAATGAGAACCAATTTACATAATAAATGTTTGGGGGACAGATTGAATTTTGGAAGTATTTATAATTGAGGACAATTTTTCATTTGTAATTTACTTGTACATTATATCAGCATCAATACAAGCCCAAGTTATTTGCAAGAGCTATATTGGTGAAGTGAATCTTTATATTGATCGTTATTAATCCAATATAAAAGTATGATTTGCTTAATTTCATAATGAAGATCAGACACAATCTACATTTTATAAAAATTTGTATTTTGCCGCAATATTACCTACAGAGTTAAGAATATAATTCAGATCATGATTTAGATTTATACATAGTCCAGAATTAAAAAAAAAAAAAGCCTATAATTTCCACAATCACATGTAAGAACTAGATAGTTGCATTAACTCTTCTAGAAACATGAGCTGAAATCTGCTGTATTGTTTGAGTTATATCCTACGACAGTAACTCATTCTACAACACCACTGAGCAGTTGCTACAATAAAGAACTATATCCTAAGCAAACACATCACCTCCATGTTAACCCAACTGAATCCCCGAGACTGCCGCTGAATGAGTGAGCCATGAAAATGCAATGAAGAGACAGACAGAAAGCAGAATGTAGAAAAACATTAGTGACAATCAAAAGACAAACACCAAATGAGATAAGTTTAACTGTGTAGTATGTCAATATGAATTATACATTAACTCAGTACTGCATCGATTCCCACATTTAAATCTCCATGGATAAATGGGAGTTTCCTTTCAAAAAAAAGGAAGACTATTCCTTGTAGTTAAATTTTATGAAATAAAAGCTCCAAAACCTCAATGAGAGTAAATATATAACCCAGTCAATAGGTAATGAACTAATGAGAATGTAGTGGAAACAAACAAGATTATTTAGGATTCGTAGCACTGAGACAAGACAGTTTTTCCCAAGTAAAAGTAGGATTACTTGGGAGCAAACTAAAAAACATGCAATGCAACAAACAAAAGGGAAGAAATTCTTTGCTGGGGAGCGCAGCTTCTACTAAACCTAGCAGGTCTTTCCTTTCAATCCTCCTTTGTGGTACTCAATTTGGAGTCTATTGTGAAGAAGAAACAATATCTAAATCTTAAATAATACAACACAGTACTACGAGGTTTTCAACTACCAGCAGTGCAATACAGCCATCCCCAAATTCAACTGATATCATTATTTACTTCAATTGAAAAGTCATTTGACTTTTGAGTTCTTAATAGCTATCATCTAATTTCACTCATGCTAGGCTTGCTTTTACTGTTGACTCATATCATTAGTGTAATTATGCAATTGTAACACAGCTTTTAAGCTTACCTTTTTCACATCTCTAACTAGCAAATGCAGTGTATTTGGAGGACCCAATCTCTGAAACAAAAATTATTTATTGTCCATTAGAGCTTCAACAATTCATATTTTACACAAACAAAAATGACACTGTAAGAACTTAAGGCAACTATGTGCCATTACATTCTACAGGACTGAAAATAAGGACCTAGGCTACAGTGACATACACAGTGTTAATCAAGAGTTGCATAGTCCTTTTCTTATAGCCATTTATGTGGTAGTTCAGGAACCTTGATTCAAGTCACAGCCGCTGCAAGTTTAGTCATTAGGAATGTGCATACGTAGGGAAACATCAGGACACTACACATAATAGCAGTGGCTCCCTCTAATTCTATTCGCCTTCTGTGTACCTCAAGACTCAAAGCTTTTTAGAAAACAAACCATTTCAGAAGCACATATCAGAAGGAAGAGAAGAAAAAGGTAATTCCTATACAGTAGAAAAGATATCACAGGATGTTTTTGCTTCTACTCACTCACAGTATTATAAAGTTCTTCCAGTCGAGGAATAGTGAGGAAATGTTGCATGTTAACTCCATTCTCAATGAGTAGTTTAACAAAGTCCACTCGATCCAGAACCAGTGCATCCAGCATAGCCTGCTCCAGTGAATTCACCTGAATCACAGAACAGAGAACATGAGATTACACAAGCAGAGAAGATGTATCTGGCCAACAACCATTAGTATTTTCATTACTTTAGAGATTCCCAGGTTTCCAAGTATGCTGCTGATGACTAATCATTCATTAATGATCACTTCCTCCTCCTTCACCAACTCACCTATTGCCTTTCAAAAATGTTGGCCAGAAAGTCTAATGGATCATCTCTTAATATTGTCTAAAGGGTTAGAATGCAGTGAGAAAGGTGGAAAGGCCTTGAGCGGCAGCCCCCTTGACGTATGATCCTGAATTCAGACAACAAAACACTCTAATCTACTGCAAATGGAAGCTGAAGCACTTAGAAAAGGTGAAATTTAAGTTGCCTTTACTTGATAAATATTCTTATAAAGGGAGGACGAAGATGTTCACTAGTGTCCTCATTTCATTCTGATAAACGTAGGCAAAAGGAGGCAACGGATAGGCACTGACTTGTACTGTTGTGGTTCAGCTGCATGTAGTGCACATAGGATGAGAAACATTCCTGGCTCAAACTGAACAGCAGCACCCCTGCAGAATTTTATTGTCAATCCTCTGGAAATGTGCAAATGAGCATTCTGTAGAGTGAAAATTTATGTTTCCCTCTCTCTGTGTTTTCAAGGACGGCTTAATCACTTTGGCTGAGGGATCTGAAAACATTTAACTCCTGCACAGAAAATGGATTTGTCAAATGGAATACAAAGGTGAGACTGGAAACTACTAAAACCCTATGAGGAATTAGAAGTGATTATTTAAAATCTCCTTTCATATGGATACAGATATACATATCTTTCTTATAGATGATAGAATACTACTTGCACCATTTTGCAAGACATTTAAAAACTAGAACTGTCTGGATAATTCAGTCTCCCACAGAGTTTCATAGAAGGGTAAATCCCACCTTTGCAAACTAATAGATAGGCATACAGAGAGGGGAAAAAAAAAAAAAGCAATCAAACTTCTCAACAGTTTTAATACAAGTACTTTCACCTCACCCAGTTCAGGAGTTCAAGCTTCCTTGGATCTGTTTCTTCTTCTGGCTCTTCTTTCACTTTTCCTCCTTTTTTCTTCCCTTTTCCTTTCCCTCTGGCTGCTTTGGTCTGAACTGCTGGAGATTTCTTTTCCTTCTCAGGGGCCGTACCATCACTAGCAGTAAGACTTCCTAAAGGCTTAATTTAATAATGCACAAGTATTAGAAATCTACTTAATTGTACCACCACTATTTCATGAATTCACTGTTATTGAACTTGTTTCTCAGTCACCACTTCGCACATGCAATCTACTTAAAATTACCATTTTCTTAAGTACATGAAACTTTTTGTTTTACTCATTTAAAAACAAACAAAAAAAAACAACCCAAAACAAACAAAAAAACCCAAAACAAAAACAAACAAAAAAAACAAACAACCCAAGCTGTTATCTCTAATACAGTCAATAACACTGAAAGTCAGGTAGTGAAGTAAGCAGCGTATGGTGGGATTTAACATAGAGGCTTCCCCTCCCAAAACTCAACCTGAGACGTCTGGGAAAAGACACTACTTGATTGTGTCACCCTTCAGCTTCTTTTCTCTCAGGAAATGTTACAGTTGTCAAAAAAAAAAAAAAAAAAAAAAAAAAAGCAACAAGTGGGATAAATGTTTAACAAGGATCTGGCATAATGTCAAATTGCATCCACACTGCAGAAGCAAAAAGAAGGAGAAAAGAGAGCTCCTGACTGGTTAATTTAGGCTCTGCAGACAGTATTTATGTTTATAACTCTTCAGGCATATCTACTCTCTTCTGATTCCTTCCCCTTCTAAGCTATCTACCCAAAGCAGGAAGGCACATGTGCAAGTATCTTGACACTACTTGTCTGTGATATGGAGGCTTAAATTACTCCAGCTAACACTTAAGTTACATAACCTGCATGTGCATCAGATTACAACCATCTGTGCCTGCCCAGAAAACAAGAGAACCAAGCTTGCTGTATTTTTGTTTGTTTTTAACGTTTAACAAGGCTTGTTTTCTCTTTTTTTTCTTCACCTTAAAAAATCTTCTCTTTCTGGCTATCATGAAATATTTGTAAGCCTGGACAAAACTGCATTTGTCAAGTCACAGAAAATAAAGGCGGAATCTTCCTGACCAAAAACATTCTTCATAGATTAGAAATGACAATGTACCACAATTAGCTGACACTGAATCCACAGATCGTTGCCAAGAATGGTTATGAAATAGGACAGACAGTAGATGGATTCAGTTGCCAGGTGGTACATCTGAATTTAAGTGCAAAATTAGGGAGACTGGGACATTCATTTCAACAAAATCTTTTATACAACTAATATTTTATAATATTTAGGATCATTTAATTCTCTCTTTGCAAGCATTTCAATGATCTTTGAAAACATTACTATAAGTAAAGAAATAAAGCAATATCTGCAGCACCATTCGTTAGAATTTTAATTACACAGGCTTCTAAATGAAATAAATCTCAACATTACATAAAGCACACACACAAATAGTGTTCATTTTATTGTATAGTTTCAGGAAAGACGTCTAACTTAAAAAAAATCCTTGGAGTCAACTTTATCTTGTTCAGGCTGATTTTTTCATAACACTATGGTAATTCAACACCAGGTGGTTCAAGCAGTAAAGCAAAAAGCATCAATACAGTGAAATGGAAGTGGCTTAGAGTATTTTAGTTATACTGATAAACAAAGACACCACAATGATTCACCATTGATTTGAACCAGAGCAGCACCACATTCTAAAATTGTGAGAAGGAAAATTTTACTGCAGAAACTAAAGCTTTACTAAAGAACTGTTTCTAAGTTTGCTTGGCACAGCACTGCCAGAGGTGTTTTCGGCAGTGGTTTCTTTTGGCTATCTACATTTTGCTCCATTAATCCAAACTGACATTTTCAAAGCTATAAAGGAAGCAAGACATGCAATTACATCAAAGCATCTCTATGAAATTCAGCCTTGATACATACTTGAACAGGTAGTTAGAGACTTCAGCAACTACCAGCACGTGTCATTGAGATAAAAAGCAAAGTTGCTTTTCTTTTTTCACAATTAAGTTTTTGCAAGTGGCAGCCTAAGTAAATTTCAAAACAAACAGGTCATTCTTAATTAATGAAATGCCCTCCATCAGCTCATCATAAACAATAATTCAATAATATTCCTCCCGCCAACAAAATCCAGGGAGTTAATATTTGACAACTTATTTTCAATTTTTAGCAAATAACATGGTCTTACTGGCCAGTGGTGTCCAAAAACAAAGATTTGGCTGCGTGCAATGTCTACACGATTCCAGGCTAAAGCCAAGCTGAGCTGGTCTGGAGCAGATGCATTGGTACCTAAACAGAAACATGCCAACATTTGGTATTTCATGCATGATGAAACATAATTGAACAACCTTCTGCAATTCCCTTTCCCAAGAATTAAAAACCAGCAAGCTTATTATCACAAGAATAATTCTACTACAAAGTGGTGCATGCACCAAACCAATTTCCAGCATCTTCCATTTGACCTCATAATCCTAATTTCAAAAGGATTAACCAGACTGTCTCTCTATTTCCCTTAGAGCTCCAGATTGACTTTGTATTCTGTGGCTAAAGATAGACATTAAACTGTTCTAAAAGGCTCCTTCACACAGCGCCCTTGGCTGATGCTGTAGATATGAGCACAATAATTCCTCTCTTTATCTCTTACTTAGCATTAGGGACTTCAGTGTTCTCATACTGAGCCTGCTATCAACTATAAATATTCAGACAGAAAACAGATGTTGTTTCAGCAAACATAACACGCTCCAAATAAACTGAGAACTGATCCTAAGTTTTGCCCTAAGGCTTAAAGAATACAATCTGAGGCCTGGAAAAATCCAGTCTTCTAATCTTCCTACCATTTCTTCTATCTTTATTAATATGTGCAAGGACTGCAATAAAATGTGCTGAAATATCAGTATAGCTGTTGGCAGCATTTCCATTCCAGGCTCTCAGGTGAAGAAAGCCACACAAAAATTTCAGTCTAGATTTTATACTTTGAGCTGGTCTGAGTTTCAGTCAAGTATTTTCAAGTTAGTGCTTTGAATAAAAGAAAATATACCCAAAATTTAAATACTTAGAGTGAATGTCAGGCAGTGTATAGACTTGATCTTTTAGGAATCACAGTATACATCCACCCCACCTTTGAGGAGAGCAGTTAGGATAGACATCTCGATGTCCTGTTGCCCTTCAGACCCCATACGGAACACAGTGATCTAAAAGACAGCATTAAACCAAAACACAGAATTACAGTATACGAAAGATGGACACTAAGTGTACAGATAGGAAAAAAATACAAATACAAATAAAAATAGAGCAGAATGGTAAAGGTTTATTTTCTAAGGCTTGACATTTTTTAAAACATCCAGTTTCCACTAATTTTTTCCTTTTGAAATTACAATTTTACAAAAACTTTGATTTAAACTTTTTCAAAAGAGTTCCCGAACTAATCCCTACACCTAAATATGATAAACTTGCTGACATTCTTCACCAAACCCCAGAATTTTCACAAACAGAAACTGTCATGGCAAACCGATAATTTTCTCATATTTTGCAGTAATAAGAGAAATGCCAACCTGGAAAAAGGAAACACTAACTACCTGAAATAACTATGATGGCTTTAATGTTATTGACCATAACACTTGAAAATTTCGGAATGATGTTGTTTGCCACATACTGACCAGCAGGACAGATACAATTAATTTAAAAATCAGATATTTCTAGTCATATTTGCTTAACTGAGTCCATTCCAATTCTTTGCCTTTAAAAACAGCAATTCCTACAAAGCTTAGCCATTAAAGGAGCTACATATTAAACAATGAATAATTCAAAAGTGTATTCTATATTAATGATATTCTTTCTGAATAGAGACAACAAACCAACAATCTTTCACTTTCCAAAAACATCTCTGCATAGTAGATGTCAGCATTAAGTAGTGGGAATAGCAATTTTTTCAACATTTTGAATAGATTTTACTTCTACACAAAGATAAATGTTTGCCGCAACAACAAGAAGACATAAAAGAATTAAAGGAAAAGTTGTACTACAGAACAAGAAAGCAGATATAATTATAATCAAATGCAGCTTGTAAGCCTGCTTAGGTTGGGCAGTCAGCATTTGAATTTTGCTGATAGGCATTTTTAAATTCGAAGCAGTTTGGCTAAGGCAGCTGTTGGTTCTCTTTTCTCTATTAGTTCATCTAGAGAGGCTGACTTATAATCAACTTACTGTAGTTACACTTACAACCAACTTGACTTCTGATGAAAGCAAAGTACAGAATTCATCTTGGCACTATAGACATATAAATATATTAGTAGTACATTCATATTACTGGAATCATGGAATCATGTAATGGTTTGGGTTGGAAGAGACCTTAGATACTATCTTGTTCCAACCCCACTGCTATGGGTAAGGACACCTCCCACTAGACCAAGCTGCTCACAGCCTCATCCAGCCTGGCCTTCAGTGCTTCCAGGGAGGGGGCATCCACAACTTCTCTGGGCAACCTGTTCCAGTGTCCCACCACCCTCACAGTAAAGAATTTATTCCTAATACCTAGTCTAAATCTGCCCTCTTCAAGTTTAAAACCATTTCCCTTTGTCCTGTTACTACCTGCCCTAACAAAAAGTCCCTCCCCAGCCTTTTGTAGGCTCCCTTCAGGTACTGGAAGGCTGCTATAAGGTCCCCCTGGAGCTTCTCTAGGTAAGACTTCATATAATAATAAGCTGAGTATGCTAATCAAACTTCTGTTTGCAGAAGTAAAATACAAACAGATGGGTAAGTATTTGACTGCAACACAGAGTTGCAATATTAGAAAATACAGTGTTTGTTGTATTTTGCTCCAAGTAGCATTGGCAGGTGGATGAGTCCTTAGAGAATTTAGTTCCGACAAAAGTATTTAAATATATGCAGCAAAATTGAAATCTGGCCTTTATGAACTCAAAAATTAAGTAGTATCAGAATATGTCTGAAATAAAAAAACAGAGATAAAACTCAGAATGGTCCTTCTCTTCTTGCAGGAATCCCCCAGTGCTAAAGGGAATAAAGCATCAGATTTAGTGAACAATGGTGAGAAGAACATCGGAGAGAATATGGGAAAGAAGAAAGGACAATTAGGAGAACAGACTGCTATTATATTGTACAGGACATGAAAAACAACTGGTGAACGTTTAAATATTAAGTTATCTTGAAACCTATAGATATAAAAGCAAGTATTCCTTGGCAGCTGAGATGAACATTATGTAGAAAAGCTGGAAGCATGAGCCAATACCAAGCATAATCTCAGGAAATGGGCAGCTTTTTGGAGAATGTGGAGAACATGAAACTAGTAGAAACACTGCAAGGAACTTAGTGAGTGCTTCACACAGATGCCCACACTCCAATCCTATCTCATTTCAGTTATCTTAGGACTCCTTCCTGAAGGGGGTCAGAAATGGCTTTATAGATAAATCCTCAGAGTCACTGGGCATATTCTTTCACGCATTTTTTTGACTCAGCCAAAATCTCCAAATGACATTAATTTGTACAGGCTTTATGCATGAAAAGGTAGGCTCCTAATGGTATGTCTATAGATAATACATTGGCATCATACCTTAAGAAGTGATTTGACTTACTGCTTGAAAATTTTCAAAACAATTTTAGTGTCCATATTTCCAAAGCAGAAGAAATAAAAAATAGCAAACATCATTAAGCTTCTTCACAACTTAAGTGTTCTTTATTATTTGCTAGTTGCCTTTTTATTTAATGAGAATTAAAGAGTGTTGAGCAATAGATCTGAACATCTCAGAGAATCAGAGTTCATCCAGAGGAGATGATTATCTAGATTTCTGGAGGATGTGTACACTCTTCTTGAGATTGGGGCACCAGGCATGATTCTAATCTGATGGAAGTTATTTCCTAATTTCAATCATTTAATTACTCAAGAAAAATGTAAAAATAATGCCTGGTTGGAACTTTCATCACTGTGGAACTGCCCATATGAAATGAGGACCAGCACAAAGCCTGATGTACCAATTTTGGGAAGTTTCTTTGTATTATGATGAGAATCATAGTGCTGAGCTTAGCACCAGCTGATGCCATATGCAGGATCATCATGTTAAGTAACAAGCTGTTGTGGTTTAACCCAGCAGGTGGCCGAGCACCACAAAGTCAATTGCTCACTCTCCCCTTTCCAGTGAGATGTGGGAGAATATCAGGAAAAAAAAAGTACAACATATGGTTGAGATAAAACTGTTTACTAAGACAGAGACAAGGAAAAGGATGATTGTTAGGACTATTCATAGACATATGAATGTACATAACAAGTAATGGACAAGCAATTGCTTACCACCCCCTGACCAACGTCCAGCTGGCCCCCCCTGAGCAGCAGAAGAGAAAAAGATCAACTCCCACTCCCTTCAAAAATCCTTCTGCATGATGCCATATGGTATGGAATATCCCTTTGGACAATTTAATTCAGGTGTCCTAATTCTATTCCCTCCCAGTTCCTTGGTCCTTTGCTAAGAATGGCTTGGCTCTGTACCACACTGCTTAGCAGCAACTATAAACATCAGTGTGTTATCAATGTTATTTTCTTCCTAGAACCAAACACACAGCATCATATCAGACACTCCAAAGAAAACTATTCCATCCCAGCTGAAATTGAGACACTGCACAGAAAATACTGTTTTTTCTTCCCTCAGTATATCTTTGGGTAATATAGCAGGATGTACAGAACAATTAAACAATTACTTCTATCAAACAGAACTATAGTCCTTAGTGAAGAGTATGTGCTGTAAGGAATACTGTTCACTGTTTATTTAAAATTCTAAGGAGAAAGTTACAGATCATTTATTGTGTACTATATTAAGCTTGGGAAGAAATTAGATAATGGTTTGCTTCTAAGCTGACTAGAGACAGAAGATGAGCACTCTGCAGAAGGAAAACACACTTAGTATTGAGGGAGCATGAAACATAATTTTCCTAAGAAATTAAAAAACTTCCTTTTCTCAGCTTCAGGGTTAAAATATTTTCTTTACCAGTGCCTGTGTTATAGCCATCACTTCCCTAGTGATAGAATTAGGCAACCCAAAGAATCATGGTCTGAGGAGAAAGATGTGCTAATTCTCTTGTTTCTATCTATAGAAATATGCAACTTAAGCAAAAAAATATAAATCTGTCAGCTGTATCTGTTCCAGCTGTAATTTGAAAACCATATAAAAACGTATTAAACTGTTTGTGTGCTATTAAAAAGCAGTTGCTTAAGATAAAAGAATGAAATGGAATTCTATCAAAACTCACAGGAAAGATCATATTTACAAAAATTCACCAGGACAATTAGACAGAAGAAACCACTCAAAAACTGCAAAGGTACAGTGAACACAATTTCAAGACTTTTTTCTCAACAGACGTGAACATTGAAGAATTTCTTTTCCTGAGCACACTTTTTTCTGCAGCTAAGTTATGCTAGACAGGCATGAATCATACTGAATGGTACAGTACATAGAACAGGCCTGTTGTAAACCAGGATCATGCACAACTGGGGTCATCAAGAACACTACACGTTCCAATTTCTTTTAAAGACTTGAATAGCCCATTTTGTTGGCATTGGAAGACGAAAACTGTAATGATGCCCCCTAAACATTTCTTACTCTTAGGAATTCTTTCTCCACTAATCTTTCCTGTACTTTCTGCAGTTGATGCTTTTTTTAAAATGCATTTATCTGAGTGTCTTAGTCTACTTTTTGGAAGTCCATACTTAGACTTGGGGTCTTGTAGAAAAAGACTCTATTTCTTACATAGGAGAAGAATCTGGAGCTGGTTTTAGAGGCTTTCCAGAAGACAAAATCTCTATTTCTAGGAGTCTAGGTTTATGAATGCATTATCATGTATACTTATGGGTCTCAAGAAAGAAAAAAATGTTGAACTGTAACTCTGGGAGAGTCACACTTTAAAGTACTTGCAAAAGTCTGGTCATAGCAATTATATTCATGAAATACTTTTAGGACACTTACAAGTTCCTTTTTTTTCATGCATTCCATCAGAATGATAAACAGCTGATGAGCTTGACTCCTGCTGTAGTTGAAGGTTTTCTGGATGGTTACTAGAAGCTGGTCCCTGAGAGATTCACTTATTATCCTAAATGATAAAGGAGACACAAAACAAGATGTTGTTGGAATTAGTATATGTGTAAGGAAGGTCTGCTGCTTGAGAAACATAATTTTTCATGCACCAGAGCAGTGATTTCATTTGAAAATAAATTAAAACACACAACATTTTGGCATTCAATATGGAAAGGTTGTGAAGTTTACAAAAAAAATAACAGTAATCAGGATATTTGTACCCTGGCTCTTGTGCATCTCAGCCCTTCAATATTGATTTAAAAACTGGCAAGGAATTTCAACTATCCTGTTGCCCTGGAATGGAATCTCTGTACTACAAGATGGCTCTTATTTTTTCTGTGACTGTGTATATATACTTCTGTTAAGTTCAGCCTTCAGAATTTCAGCAGTACACTTTACTGGACATGCATCTTTCCCTCTAAATGTTGCAAGATTCTTTGCATGAAGTCAAAAACACTACAATATTTCACACTAGCAGTATGTCACCTTGGTTATCTTTTACCTCTTAAACAGAGAGTTTAGTTGCTAGATTATGTGAAACCTCAAAATGCACACCCGAGAAATACAAAAAACAAAGATGATCTAAGAAAAAATTAGATTGAAAGAATTTCAGCAAAGATCAGAAACATCTGATCTCTCAAAGCAGTCTGAAACAGAGGCCATCCATTTTGACTGTTTTCCTTATAAAATACAAGTATTTTCAGGTACCAGCAAACATTACCAGCAGACAATCAGATCAGTGAGACAGCTGAGCTTGCCAAGTGCAGTAAAATTCAAAGTTCATTGTGAGAAAATTATTCTTTGTAATCTGACAGAAGGGATGCCAGAAATTTCTCACTACAGACCTGTGTTACCAGGTGAATACATTTATCTCATCATCATTATTGGAAAGGACAACTGGACAGTGTAACATGTGCATTGGGGAAGAGAGTCATGCAGCGAGCAGATCTCAAACAGATTGATCCTTAAAAGCTCCTTCAGTTTCTGTGTGCTGATAAAGAGGGATGGATGAGAAAGAAAAAAAAGAAAGTTTGATCTAATCTAAGGAGGCTTGTTCAACACAAAGAAAGATGTCATATCATAGATTCTGTTGGTAGGATTAAAGCTGTACTATATGTAAACCCAAAAATCCAGCATCAGAGCTGCTTTCCCACTTCAAGCACATAACATCTGCACTGTTTGAGAATAACAGTTATTTGGTTAATATTTAGTCCAATATAAGCTCCAACTTCAGCCATGGAAACAAACTATTTCTTCAGTGAAAAGAGGGTGTGATGTACTCTAATGAAAACCATACACATTTTTCCTGATTCTGTATTAACAGTTGGTATGGAGAAGATGTTATTTGATTGGGAAAAACAGCATTTGAAATAGAAAATGGACTATTCTGCTTCCATTTGGAGTATCTATCAGGAGAGATTTTATACTCTGCAGAGAAGATGAGCTTTATGCTATAGGTTTTGTATCTTCTTTGAACAAACTGTACTCTCTACCGACAACAGCAGACAACCAACTGTAAAAATCACAAATTCCACAAAACACTGCATTAAAAGCTATTGTTGCAGGTTCATATGAGCAGTGAAGCAGAATGCTTCAGACAAATGTTTGGCTCTGGTCATGGCAGCACCGCTCTGCAGAAAATATCAAAGACACAAGAAAAAGCAAAAGAAGAAAGCCTGACATTTATTCAATCTGGCACTCTTGGAGCACGAATGTCATTCATACAGCACATTAGATGCAGGCAGTACATATTCTGCAAATACATGAACTATTAAAACTCAGCTCTAACCTGAGAAAAGGAGTAATTCTGGGAACCACTTGTTCCTCACTTCCAAAGCATCCAACTCAGCATCAAGTATCATGCAACAAATTTTGATGGATCTTGTATGACAGTGTGCTGCACTGAGACCAAGCTTATGTCAATAGGCTGTCAAATTCATTTGAAGTAGTAACAATTACTACTCATTAACACCAAGGAAAAGATCAAACAGGCAACAAAATCTGACAGCAGAATACCTCTGTTAGGAACATTTTGTATCTGAGCTTTTTTTCCAGAAAAACAAGGCATAATCCCTCACTGTCTCCCCTGAGCAAGACACAGTTTTAGTGAAAGTCTCACAGTCTTACCCTCCTTCTTCTGAATACTTGTGTGCAAATGACAGAATATCAGATGCTCGTCCACTACCATCGCAAATCACTACAGGGAGAGGAGGTTCTTCTCGTAGGCACTCCAAAACAATGGAGATAACATTGGGACCACCTTCCACAATAAGCCCAACTACAGGAACACCTTGTCCCAGCCCTGAAAATAAAAACAGAAGAGCAGAAACAAAAAAGAAGTGTAATTGAAACTGAGCTTAAGAGGTTGATATGAAGGGATGTGATTTTCTGTGTTACAGAATCACCTAAAACCAGAACAGTTAGGAAAAAATATGCTTATTTCACAGCCAGTGCCAAGGAAGGTGTCTGTATACTGTTTCAAAGTCTCAGAATGAAAACAGCAAGTCTCTTTGCAGTTATAATGTGGTTTAATCCACAGTAGGAAGCTGTGCTCCACATAGCTGTTGGCTTGCATCTCTGCCACAGTGGGATGGGGAGAGA